CATCGACGCCTGACTCTCGACATCCTAATACTAATCATTTTAAGCACAAATTCTAGTTAAATGACTTATTATTTTTAAAATTATACTTATTTAATTTTTATACACTATTTTTTAAATATAAAAACTATAATACCATGTCCAACCCATGTCCGTGTCATATATTTTCAATAACTAGCGTGTCCCATGTCCGTGTTGTGTCGTATCCGTGTCGTCGTGTCCATATATGTGCATCATAGGAGTTAACTTTGGGCTTGATATCAAAGAAGCAGTGGGCCATGGATTGATCATTCATTGAGATATGGTGTAATTCATTTTTCAATTGAAAAATGTTAGAACATTTGATTGCTTGATTGCATGTAGCGGCCTATAGTAGACCAATTGTTTCGCAAATGAGTAGTTTGAGGAGGCGAACATAGTTGAATAAAGGGTAGTTGCAAGGTTTTGATCAATAAGAATCCAATTATTGTTTTAGGATTGAGAGTGATAGAACCATAGTTGTTGATGAGGTGTTTGTTGGGTTCGATGATAGTGCCTTCCAGGTAGCCATCAACTATTGGCATGAAATATTTTGAGGGTTTGTGAGTGCGAGGTGCGGTGATTTTCAATTGTTAGACATCAAGAACTTTAGACAGATTGTTTATTTCTTTAACAAGAACGATTGCCTTCCTCGAGCCCTAATCCTGAAATACTAAAAGTGAAGGGTAAAATGCAATACTGCATTTTAAATTTTGTTGTTAGTTTTGAATAGATAAAAAGTTGATGAATAATTAAAATATGTGGAGGAAATTTCAAAGTGTGAGGGATTTATTTATAAGAATGCCTACTTGTTCAGCAAAGATTGTCAAGGATCCATTACCAATAGTTATTTTTATGTTGCTAGGATAAGAATTATATGCAATAAATTTGTGTAAGTTGGTTATCCTATATGTGACAACTAAATCAACAATTTAGTGGCTGAAATTGGCCAAATCTCTGAGACCCTAAAAGCATTAGAAGAAGAGGTAATACCTGAGAATGCAAGAGGATAAGTACCAATCATAAGATTCTTCATTAGTTAAACCAAAAAGTTTTTTTAATTTTTCTATTTCTTGATGGGGACATCAGATCATCATGGAAAGTTTACCAGCGACGTGGCCGCCGATCTACGGTCTTCAATTGCTCTTGCCAAGCCTAGTCATTTGTAGGAATTGAGTGTAATCTTCTATGCATCCTACGTCTCGTTGTTAGATTAGGGATTTAACTTGAAAACTACTATTCTGTATTGCTTCTATTTTCTTAATTATCTTGATAGTTCAAACTCGGAGTATGTGATTTAGCCTACGCAATTGATCCACTCATTTGTTTTAATTGTCGTTTGAAAATTGCTTGTAATTTTGTTCCGAAATTGTTCTAATCTATTATTTGTGCAATGCCCACATGAATCCATAAGCATGTCATCTAAGCAATCCTGCATCATTTCTTCTTTATAGAACTCAATGGATGATTCTTAGGTGTTATCTTTTTCTACATGTATTATATATGCATGTCCTTTCTCTTACCTATTCTTGTATCGTCCAACTTTTGCTTGGTGATTTGCTCTGAGTCTTTCAGCATCTTTTCTTTGTCTGTTGAGCCTTATTGCAATATGTGCACTATACAAAATCTCTATTGACCATCATTTTTTTGTATTTGGCTACTTGTGTTCCTCTAGAGGAAAGAGTTTTGAATTAGTGTGCTTGATATCAACTGTCTTTGTCAGTCTAGAGGAACCTTCAATGGAGTTATTAGTAATTAACACCTTTTCTCCCTTCTTCCATTCAAATGATAGCAACAACTTCATTAAGGAAAGGAAAATCTTCCTTCTCGAGAATTTATACCTTTCTAACATCAAATTCAACATTTAATCAAGTAAAAAAATCATAAATTCAGTATTTTTCAATAAAACTTTTAAGGAGGATTGCATCTTTGCCACATTCCATATGGATGCATTGAAAATAATCCATCTCTTTCTATAGGCCTTATAGTAGTGGAGTATTCTATGATGGATCATTCTCATTACTTTGTTGATGAAATATTGGTTTTAATCTCTTATATTTGGGCCGCATCATGAGCTTTAAAATACATTTGATTTGTTGTATCTCATATTTCCTTTACCAAATGAAAGAAAATACATGCATCACTCCAAAATGAAAGAATTGGTTGAGTGTCCTATTACAACATGTATATTAAATTTATATAAACTAGGCGAGCTTCTAATAGAAAATATGCAAAATCAGTTTTATATATATATATATAATAATGATCCTATGGATCAATGAGCTGATGATGATAATGAAGAAAGGAAGAAGTATATGAAGGTATATTGGGTTGGCATTGTTATGGACCGGCCATCTGATTGGGAGGGAATTAGGAAGTTTCCTACTCAAAATGAAGCTATTTAGGAATGTTCTTAATCAAAGGATAATTATTTAGGAAACTTTTAATTACAATTAGGAGAGAATTATTTAGGGCAAGAGATCTAATTTGGAGGGGATTAATTAAGAGATGTTTCCTAATAAAAAACAAATAGATTTAGGAGATGATTTGGAGGGGATTAATAGAAGATATTTACTAATTTGAGGCTGTTTTGGGGGCTGATTGGGGAGGGCTGTTTTGAAATTTGATATTTATTGTTTACTATAAGTAGTAGGGTTTATGTTATATTTTGTATGCAGAATTTTGAGTGTGTTTGTTGTTTACTGTTTTTGAGAGGAATCCTAGCAGCGTCTAGGGTTTGAGAGAGACGGTCCTCTCCAAAGAGGATCATTGTATCTTGTTTGTTCGTATTTCTTGGGACCTATGGGAGCAAAGAAGGTGGAGGCATTGGAAAAGAAGATGGAGCAAATCAAATCCGATGTGGAGAAGAAGTTCTCAACCATGGAAGGAAGGGTTACATCTATAGAAAACAAATTGGGAGGGTGGATGAGATGTTAAGGAAGCTCATAGAGATGCAATCCGAAACTCCACTGGTGATTTCGATTGCTAAACCTAACCAAGATTTGACTGGGATTCCCATGGCTAAATCTAAGGGAAAGGCGATCAGGAGGAGTTCGATGAGGGAGGATCAGGAGGTGGAAATTTTGGGGGAAATAGATGAGATGTAACCTTTCAAGGAGGTGAAAGAGTGAAGGAGTGGGATTGATGGAGCTGCAAAGTTTGGAAGAAGAAGAAGAAGATGGGGAGAAGATAAAAGCACCATACATGGTTCAACCACTCCTACAACAGTATCGAGAGGTGTTCCAAACAGTTCAGCGGTTGCCTCCTCCACAGGAACACGAGAAACTTATCATTTTGAAGGAAGGAGATGAGTGTTCATTCGTACCATTCTCCGCAACTCCAGAAAGATGAGATTGAGAGATTGATCAGGGAGATGTTGAAGGCAGGAATCATTCGACCTAATGACAGTCCATTTTTTAGTTTAATGTTATTAGTCAAGTGCTTCAGCAATATTTTCCTTCATTCCACCTTGAGGACAAGGTGAAACTTTGGGAATGGAGTATTGATGGACAAGCTGATTTGATTGGGAGGGAATGAGGAAGTTTCCTAATCAAGAAGAAGCTATTTAGGAAGGTTATTAATCGAAGGAGAATTATTTAGAAAAATTTTAACTATAATTAGAAGGGAATTATTTAGTGAAAAGAGATCTAATCTGAGTTTTGATTTAGAGGGGATTAATTAGGAGATGTTTCGTAATTAAAAAGTGCAGAATTGAGGGCTGATTTGGAGGGAATTAATTATGAGATAATTCTATTGGAGAGAGCAAATTTGAGGGTTGATTTGAGGGCTGTTTTGAAATTTGTTGTTTATTGTTTGCTATAAGTAGTATGATTTATATTATGTTTTGTATGCAAAATTTTATAAGTGTTGTTGTCTACTGTTTTTTTGAGGAATCCTAGCGGCATCTAGGGTTTGGGAGAAACAGTCCTATCGAAAGAGGAGCATTATATCTTATTTGTTCATATTTATTCTTCTCAATAAAAATCTGCCGTTTGCTGAATTTGTTTTTGTTCTTATTCGTTGGCTGTTTTTTATTCCAAGGCCTATCACCTTGCTAGCTTGAGGCGCTAAAGAAGCTATAATCAGGGCAGCAAAGAGGCAGACTTGGAGGCAATAGACATGGAGGCTGGAGTAACAGTTGGAGGCTAGAGCAACGTTCGTAGCTGGAGAAACGCAGGGAGCAATATCTTTTGGCATTTTTCACAAATTCTACCATAAAATCTTAGCAAAATTAATAAATCTTTAGTGAAAAGTAATCTTGTAATTGCACAAGAGCTAAGGCTTTCTCTAATGAAGGCTTTCTACATTAACTAATCTAGTTTGACATTTTACTTCGACATGCAATTTAGAATTCATGCGATAATGAATAGATTTGAAAAAGAGGCGCCTGGTAATAATTCTATCACATGTTGAATATCATATAGAGATGGAAACTCTTTAGGTAGCTCATTTATTTAATGTTAGAAAATATAGCTCACTTGGTGTAATGTGGAAAAATCCTTCTGGCAAAGAAGATACAAAATATGGAACAATATAATCAACAATCCTAGACTAAACCTCTATCAGTAAGGGAGATAAAAACTAAATTGCGGATTTAATTGGTATCTTACACTCTTATTAGTAAGGGCAACTGCTATTTGTTGAATAAGCTTTGATGATTTCACCCTAATGTTATTGCCCATAAATTTGAAAGTATAAATGTTGGCTTCACCATACAGAGATCATCCACATCATAAAATCCAAGAGTGACCAAACTGAATGCTGCAACACCGTTAGGTAATGCATCACAGCATATCATGTCCAAATAACTAGTGAACGAAATAGATATAAGACATTTTTTAGTGATAGGCAGAAATGACTTGTTAATCCATGCAACAGTGGAAATACTTGAATGTGGCTTAGCGTTGAGATTGAAACTAGTTAAGGTGGCTTTAGATAACAAATTCATGGTGCTTCCAACATCTATACAAAACTTGTATCTCTTGTTATCACAAGAAGTGTAAGGCATGATCATGGAAGATGTGAGAGCTCTACCAATCTTCACTAATGCAGAGCTAGTGATCATGCATCTTATATCAGCTAAATAAATTTATGATTCAACACAATCTAACGATTCATCTCCCAAAAATGCCATAACATGAACACGGAATTACAACATTAGGGTGTGTGCTGACCTAATTGATGATAATTAAAACATGTTGATTAATTAAATTTTCTAGTAAATAATCTCCTTATAAATAGTGGTGACAATCTAAGCCAAAGATTGTGCTTGTTAAATAGGCTGCCTAATGCCTAAACTATGCACGTGAAGCAGCATTAGACATGAGAGGTGGTCCTAGAAGAAATATATTCTTACGTGCCTTTATTTTCAAATACTTTCCAACTTGCATGGCCCTTTGGAAGGTACCCTATATGTAGTAAGTTGATGAAATTCTATTTCAATTTTAATATCAAATCATAAGTTATTTAGAAGTTCATTTTTTGCACCCAAATTGCTTCCTTAACTTCATGACTCACAATAAATATTTCAAATTTATTTAAATATTGAAAGCATAAAATGTATTGTTATGCTGCACATCTGCCAATACAGAATGTAACTCGTTCACTAAATTAGAAGTTTAGGCAATAGTACCAATTTGCAAAATATAGCAAGTTTAAAATTAAGTTGATTTTAATGCATACTAATTTTCTTTCTAGATGACTTTATTTAGGATAATTGGAAAATCAAATTTTGTTCAAGGCCATTAGGTATAATTATTACTATGATGTGGGTAAATAGTAATGCAAGCAAAATAGGTTTGCCCAACAAGATTTCTAAGCAAATTTGAATAATTTTCTCATAAAATTCAGATTCCAAACTTTAAAAGAGATCAAAATTTAACCATAGAACATGATCAAACCTCCATGAATAAAGAGCTTTAAATATGCAGGGTTGATTCCACAAACATTATCGTCATCAGCTCTCTCCACCATATTCATTCGATCTTGATGTATGCCATTGATCTCCTTGTTTGATTTGAACAACAACAACAACATCAAGCCTTTATCCTACTATGTAGGGTCGGCTACATGAATATTTTTTCTCCATTGTGTCCTGTTAAGAGTCAAATTCTCATTTAAATTTAAAAAAGAAAGGTCGTTTCTAATATTTTATAACCAAATCTTTTTAGGACTACTTGTACCTTTCTTGACATAAGCCAAATCTAATACAGATACTTTCCTAACCGGCTCATCAGAAGTCCGCAGTTTTATGTGACCAAACCATCTGAGACAACTCTTTCTAATCTTATCTTCCACTGGAGCTACTCCAACCTTTTCACGCATATGCTCATTTCGTATCATGTCTCTAAGAGTAAAGCCACTCATCCACCTGATCATCCTCATCTCTGCAACACAGAACTTAATAATATGTGTTTTTCTTTTAATGGCCAACATTCTGCACCATAAAACATTGCATGTCTCACCACCATCTTATAGGATTTTCCCTTAAGTTTGAGGGGGAGTTTTCTTTCCCACAACAAGCCTGATGCCTTCCTCCACTTCAACCATCCAACTTGAATTCTGCTAATAATATCTCCATCTATTTCACCATCACTTTGAATAATATACCCAAGATATTTAAAACATGTACTCTTAGTAATGACTTCATCACCTAAAGTCACAAACCCTCCACTAGATCTATTACTAATAAAATTACAATCCTTGTTTGCTTTAAACTCGAAAGATTTTGGCTAGCGTTGTAAATTAAGCCTTAAATTTTAGAGTTATATTTTTTTGAGGGTAAGGAGATTTTTGGGTGAAAAAGGAAGTGGGTGGGGTGGTTTTGGCTTTTGAGGAAGAAGGGGCAAAGGTTTTTTTTTTTTTTTGGTTGGGGTGGGGGTTAGGGTGGTGAGAAGAGGGTTAGTGGGTTGATTTTACTTGGGTAAGAGGATGGATAACTTAATGGTGAAAAGAAACTAAATGAGTAAGGATTTACCTTCAAGATTTTGGCTTTAATATCAAATTGATAGAGAGCTTATATGCATGGATCTTCTTGATCCTCCTCTCCTTCCTCTTCCTCTTAAAATTTGCTTTATGCGAACCAAGAGAGATAAAGAAATGAAATTATCTTTTGAAGTGAAAATAGAGAGAAGAGAAAGATCATGAGAATGAAAAACTCAAAACATATATATATATATATATATATATATATATATATATATTACCATAAAAATTCATAAACCAAAATAAATCTGAAATCAGTCTAAATTTGAGTCTAGTCATGAGTTTTAATTTAAGTTCATGTGCAACATTTTTTTTTTAAATGTTAAGTAATAAATTGCATTATATGTTGTTCAGCCCATGACATTAGAGCAACAACTTTCTCCTCTAAGCATTGGGCCATTGATCCTTTAACCATGTGCAAAATCTCCATATCCAATGCCTACAAACATGAGCTAGTAACCATAGGCAGCCTTTTTTCATCCTTTAGATTTTGATAATAGATCTAATGTTGCCACATATCATTTATCAAAGGTGTCTGTGTGTTTTGCTCACAACAACATAAGTGAAAATAAGATGGCGACCAACTTTGCTTTTGCATCCCAATTTCAAAGAACAAAGTGCATATCTATATCATTATCCAACAACAACAAGTCTTTATCCCACTAAATGGGGTCGGCTATATGAATCTTTTTTCTCCATTGTGTCCTGTTAAGAGTTAAATTCTCATCTAAATCTAATAAAGAAATGTCATTTCTAATATTTTATAACCAAGTCTTTTTAGGTCTACCTCTACCTGTCTTAACAAAAGTCAAATCTAATACATCTACTTTCCTAACCAGGTCATCGGAAGGCCGGTGTTTTATGTGACTAAACCATCTAAGGCGACTCTCTCTAAACTTATCTTCCACTGGAACTACTCTCTAATCTTATCTTTCATGTATATCTATATCGTTATAGAAAGGAGAATATATAATTCTTCAAGTTAGGACTGTTCCAAAACAAATAAATTTCACCTGATTCTGTGCTGTGAGGATCTCCAGAGATCTTACATCCTCCAATATCCTGCAAAACAGTTATATTATTAATTAATATACCAGAAATATATAACCAAATGATGTAAAATGCAGTGTTCCAAGGCTATTTTGACACTTGTAGATAAGAAATTATCAACAACATAGTAACACTAGTAATCTAAGGATTCTTGTTTTGACAATTCACATCACAGACAGAACTTAAAGCAGTGCAGTACATTAACATTAAATAAAAATGCCCTTTATATGCCTTTCGTTTAGCATTTCTAAAAAATCAAACTTGCTGATTTAGGAAGAACTAGTGTCGTAAGGATTTAGATTACAAAGGTTGCAACTAAATACCTAGAAATTTTCTGCCAACATCATAGCAGTGAAAAGTAGTCCCAAAAAGAAAACAGATAAATTGAATTACATCCAATTAACTGTGGCTTTTAGATCACTGAGCAAACTGATCATTTCCTCAGCAGGTTTTAGATAATTTGCAAAATTACCCCATAAGCTTTTAAAATACCTACACAATGTGTAGTCCTCTTTTCAAGCAGGCGTTCCCATGAGGATTTTATATTCTTTAACTTGGTAGAAGCTAATAGGATTTTATATTCTTTTATAGATGGTTTAGTTTGCAGCGTTGACCATAAGCCCTTTGCTCTTGATTGTTGGATGATTTAGAGCAACAATACTAAATTCAAGGTAGAAAACTTATGAGAAATTAAAATTAAATTTTTAAATTTATTCTTTGAAAGAAATTTTTGTCACTTATCTATACCCCCAATATCACATGCCTCAAAATATAACCCAAAATACTTACAAATACCTTCAAACAAGGACTCCTTCCCATACACTTAAAGATAACCTCAAGATATGTACTTTCATCCTAAATAATCAAATTTTAGGATTCTTCCTTTGTAAGTAACTTTAATATTAACCACTAGAAGAGATTAATCCTGCAATAACCTATCAAAAGATTATTAGTGACCCACCTATTCTTTCTAAACTCAAATTTTTCATATATTGACGGCTCAAATTGTATGAAGATGCCTTTCTCTTTTTTTTTCTCTTTTTTTTTTCTATTCATGATGCTCTATCTTTCATTTATGTATAAGAAGAACTATGAAGCAATGGAAATGGCCCATCCTGGTGTGCCATTTTGCCAAGGCATAGCGATAAAAGAGCACAACTGAAAGTTGTTGAGTTGATGTGGTGGAGCACACAAATGGATATAGAACATTATGAATTGGGCCTGAAAGGATGATTTCTCGTATCTTCAGGTCCTAAATGAGGAAGTTAATCGTATTGAAGAAGATAGAGCAAGGATTGTCATTAGTAAGTCGATCGATTGAGATAAGATTATGGAAAAGTTTTGGTACATGGAGTATTTTAGAAAGTTTGAGCTTACTAGATGGGGTTAGGGGGATATTGTTACCATCATGCGAGATGGGATGGGCCTGGCCATTGTCGAGAATAACGTGTGTCGTCACACTAAAGTCAATAAATCATTCGGGAGCTGGAGCTGGAAGAACAACTAATAGATGTAGTGGGGAGGATGGAGGATTGGGCTAGATTAGTGCAATACTAACACTTCACAGGTGAGTGGATTAGCTTGATGCAGATTTGATTGTGGAGTGAAAGACTTTGTTGTCACAAGCTTGGGGGATCACCTGGGGAGTGGTGTTACCATGTCTATAATTGCTTCAATGGGACCGATCTTTGGAAGAAGGTGAGTTGTTGAAGCGGCTGCATCCTCAACCACAACAGAATGTGTGGGATAGATGACGATTTGGAGAGGATAGTTATTGTTTGTGAGAAGCTTCATTTGCCATATTCATCTCCTCAAAGCGGAGCAAAGAGTAAGAATCATCCAAGCTGATTGGCTGAAGTTTTGTCTCATTGATTGTTTTGAATGCTTGCTTGCTTGGGGGTAGTTCATTTAAGATATAAAGAATGATGCCTTAAAGGTTGATAGGAGTGCCCACAACTACAATGGAGTTAACTTTGGGCTTGATATCAAAGAAGCAGTGGGCCATGGATTGATCATTCATTGAGATATGGTGTAATTCATTTTTCAATTGAAAAATGTGAGAACATTTGATTGCTTGATTGCATGTAGCGGCCTATAGTAGATCAATTTTTTCGCAAATGACTAGTTTGAGGAGGCGAACATAGTTGAATAAAGGGTAGTTGCAAGGGTTTGATCAATAAGAATCCAATTATTGTTTTAGGATTGAGAGTGATAAAACCATAGTTGTTGATGAGGTGTTTGTTGGGTTTGATGATAGTGCCTTCCAGATAGCCATCAACTATTGGCAAGAAATATTTTGAGGGTTTGTGAGTGCGAGGTGGGGTGATTTTCAATTGTTAGACATCAAGAACTTTAGCTAGTAAGAATGGGGGCGTTTAAGATTACAAGAAGTCACTCGACCGTCGTTAATGTGCCAGAGTGCTCTGCAAGATTAGCAGGAGACATGATCGAGAGGTTAGAGTGTTTTCATTTGGCTGGTTAGTTCTAATATCATGAGATAGTTGAGAGTGTAAAGTAAGATAAGTGAATGCAGTAAAATAGAGCAAGAGAGACTATTCATTATAACAATATAGTTTCATTCTTCATTAAGTGTTACAATGACATTAGTATACATAGGCAGAGTTTGGGAACATTTCTGATGAGAGGCAGAGGTGGTTATAAGTTAATAGTTGAGATTGATTTAGCCATTACGGGTTGATGGCTGAGATCGACATAAGCAAATAATGATGGCATGGCTATTGTTATGATAGCTTCGTGTTGTGATTAGTGATTACCAAAATAAAAGTATGATGTAACAAAAACTAATTCAACAATTGCAACATCAAATGCTCGCATCCTATGATTGCATCATGTTTTCCCTTTTAGCGCATATTCAAATATGTAAAAGATGCAATTACAAAACTATTCCAACATCGCTCCTTAAATTTATGCTTATACATTTCCCTAATTCTTCAACATTCTTTTGCACATTGCAACTAACAACAAATGCAATTATGCCTAGTCAAAGACAATGGACCCAATATTTGAATGCTTGCTCAGGTTAACATCCAACCCATTTGACTTTGTGGGTTGACTTTGTTAAGCCTATGGTTGGATTAGGACAAAAACCTTATCTTCATTTATCAGCTTGTCCAACTTAACAGACCAAGTATCCCTAGCAGGCACGGCTTGGTGCAAAGGCCTCTACATTACCATCTCCTGGTTGAGAGAAGCATTACTCATTTCAGTTGAGAGAACCAAATTTTATCTAACACAACCAGTTGTGATAGCATAAATAAAGTGTCTAGATTATCTCTCCTCAACACCTTACCTCTATTAAAGTTTTATGGAAAATTTTCAGCAGATCTCCCCTATCTATGAGAAACTTTTATTGAGGAGTAAAGATTAAATCTCTCAATAACAGCTCTTTCGTAAAAGAGCATAGTCCTTTCTCATTGTATATTATTATGCTTGAATAACTTCAGGCGTGATGAAAACCTCAGAGATTTGAACATAGAAATAGGTGAGCTGATTAGGTAAGGGTCATACAGCATAAAGTTTGGAAGCAACTTCAGCCCTAGGATACAGATTACTACTTTGAGAATGCGATCTTCTATAACATAAAAGAATTTTCTTTGATCTTCAGTCCAGTTCCCATCTTTCTCGAAATTCATGCATTGCCCACAAACTAGTGTTTAACTTCAAATTTCCAAGGGTTTCAACACTGTCATATATGCAGAGTATCGGGTTATTCTTATTCAACAAACAAATTGGGACAGGTTCCCACCTCCGATTATTAATTATTGATTACCAGTTTTTATATTACGTAATCCCTAAAAAAATCTAGAAATTTCTCGCTCGAAGAATGACTATCATTTTGCAGCCAGTTCATGAATTATCCACACGTAATTTCAATTTTAATATGTCCTCTTACATACCTTAGGTGTCGAACTGGTGCTACTCCGACAAAGCTCGCTCTGGTAAAACTGGATATAAGAAATGAATGTATCGTTCGTATCAGACGGGTTCCAATCAAACTTTTCTTTTATAGCGTGATCCGAGAGTTCTGCCACGCCGACCCGCGGCACATTAAAACCTCCGATTGGATGACCGGCGACGATCTGCAACTTCGGCGCCGATGCCTCGCCGCCCGTGTAAGAGAGAAGCTCGTAGAAGTCCTGCTTTTGAGAGGAACTTGTCATCCGCGCGATAGGGGAGAGGTCTGACACATCGACCAGAGAGAAGCATTAACCCCGGTAAGGGGCAAATTATTACGTGCGATGTCCGAGACGAATCCGGACTCAGTCACTTCACCCGGATGCATGGGCGGGAAGGTAATAAGAGTTATTATTCTGTGCGGACATCCCACGTTTAAATATTGGATATCCATGGAGTGACTTGTCACAATTTTATTGGTTTTCAGATGTCTTTCGGATTCCGCACATAATAATAAATCAAGTAATAGGGACCAAGATTTGTGAAAATGGGATGGGATAACGGACCGGAAGAGTGCTTCAAGGTTGCACATTAATTATTATGTGCGGACACCGCCGAAAGTATTTGGAGATTAAATGTGTCGCATCACTTTTATATTCGGTACCAACTTGATATTGTTCGGTATCGCGGTTTGATACTATTAATGTGGCACATTTTGATTGGTCTTCAGACTACGTCCAGTCTCCACACATAATAATTTCTCGTCTAATTGGGAGTTGAGCTTATGGTGTAATAATTAGTTTTTATATTTAATTATAATGATAATAAATGAAATTTATATAAATAAATTAGTCGCTTTATTATATTTATGAATCACCATCTTTCAGCACGTAATTAATTAAACTGCTTCCTAGATCATTGTGGAATTACAAACACCTTGAGTGCACATGGCTTCTTCATTTTGCTCATAACAATTTGTATAGGAATTTCCACACATGTTTCCAATCTTGCTTGCAATGTTCTCTTCCAATCCATAATTCTTATTCAAACCATTACATTCCAACATTGACAAATCAACGCCCACACTCGAGATAATCAAATTGGGAACATAATCGCTAACCTGTAGGAATCAACCCTTCAATGTCGAGGACCTTCCAATAGTTACCTTGCCTTAAGTCCTTCCTTCCATCAAATCCTGCCAAACTCGTCGGCCTCCAAGCATTATGTTGGTTGCGTCTGATACCCAACTGTGAAACCTCAAATTTTTTAAAAATCGGCACTGGTTACGGTTGGACCGCCGATCCTACGATTTTTGGCCCAGTTTTCTGCAAAACCGGGACGGGTCTAGTTTTAAAAACATTGGTAAGGAATCTGTCAGCATTCAGAGTCATTTCAATTTTTGTGGAAAAAAAGCTTTTTCGACTCTAGCTTTAGAAGCTTGCTCGCCGCCTGATAAGGACCAGAGGTCACCGGAGAATGGTTGATAGTGGATTGCAATGAGGAGGTGAATGTTAGAAGTTTAATTATTGAACTGTCGGTAATTGGAGAAATTATTACGTGTCGGGTCGAAATAAAATCTTAATATTTTGATTGTAAACTGAAATATTTAATATATTTTTTTAATACTCATGATTAGACAGTTTGGCCCAAATCATAGGTGAAAATTTTGAATTCATGACGAATCAAAAGTTGCGTCGTCGGTTCACTTTTCATCTTTGAATGCACTTATCATCTTCAAATCCACTTTTTAGTTGATTCATTGTTCATCTTAGAACAAACATATTCCTCATTTAGGTGTTATCTCCTTAAGTTCATCATCTTCAATCAAGGTTAGTCTGCCATTCTCGTTCATTTCATCTTTGAAGAGTTTTTTTTTTCTCTCAAAATAATTTTTTAGGTTTACATTTAGAGTTTTTAGGGTTAGGGTATTTGTTTGTCGCTTTTTTGCAGCTGTCGCGACCCTCTAACGAGCGCCAAATAGAAGTACATTCATCGCACTATTTAAACAAACAAAAAGGGCAATCAGTTTGGTGTATGCTGGACGCTCGCGACTAAATCAAACCGATGAATGTAAACCTTTATGTAAAATTAGTTATATTAAGATAAGATTGTACAGTGTGTATATATAAGAGAAAATTTTCTAAAATACTCTTTTTTTCTAAAGAGAAATTGTGTATTGATTGTGTAATGCATTTCTAAATTAGATTTCCTAGATTTTAAATGTCCATGAGTTATTTTTGTTCATTTTGTGACCAATTTTGAACTTTTGAAGAGGAATTTTTTTTAACTATGATTTTTCGTGATTAAAATTCGGTATGGGATGTGTTGACGATGTATCGACTTTGTCTTACATATCTAAGTTAGGTTTCACATATTTCAATCATTTATGATATTTTTTTTCATTTTATCATAATTTTTGAACTTGTAGGGTAAAGTTTTTTTTTTTAATTAAGGTTTTTTCCTTTTATCATATTGAATCGCAAAACCATTTATATAACCTAGTGGGATCTCCTCAACACACTATGTATTGACTATGTAGTGACTATGTATGGACTGTATAATGCATTTTCTAAATTAAGTTGCATATATTTTAAATATATATTAGTTATTTTTATTAACTTTGTGATGCCTTTTGAACTTATATATGAGATTTTTTTAATTATGATTTTTTTCTAATAAAAATATTGTATTGACTGTGTATCGACTTTTTATTGCATTTCTTAGTTATGTTTCACCTAGTTCAATCGTGCATGATTTTTTATTTTTTTTCATTTTGTCATGATTTTTGAACTTGTAGAGTATGAATTTTTCTTTTAATTGATATTTTTTTCTGATATATACTTTATATTGACTGTGTGTCGACTATGTAATATATTTTCTAGATTCGGTTTCACATATTTCAAATATTTATGAGTTTTTTGTTTCATATTGTAATATTTTTTGAACTTGTAGAGGAGGAAATTTTTTTAATTATGATTTTTCTTGATAAAATTCGTGTATTGATTTTATATTGCATTTCTAAGTTAGGTTTCACATATTTCAATAATCTATGATTTGTTTTGTTTTTTTTTTTTCATTTTTTCATGATTTTTGAACTTGTAGAATATAATTTTTTTTAATTAAGAATTTTCCCTGATACACATTGTGTATTGACTGTGTATTGCAATTTAATAATAATTTTTCTATGATGCTTACAGATGTATGTTCCAAATATTACTTATCATTACATACCATAAACATTTAGACTTATCTTCGACTCGTTAGTACATATTTTAGATAATAAGGTCAAAGAATATTTAAAAAGATTACACATATATCAATTTTTGAAGTTCCTCCATTCTAATAGAATGTTTCCCTGATATGCAAGTTATTTTTGTTATGAGATATTCCTCATCAATACTTTATCATCAAGGGTCATACATACAGAATTGTCAAACATAGGTGATGCTATTATTTATGAAAGTGAGCCACTTACAGCATATACCTCAATCGATATTAAGAATGAAATGAGAAACATCAACAAATCAATTGACCCATTTCTTATTTTAAAGAAATTTATAATGTTTATGTTATCAATTTTTTCCCCCCTTAACAACTATAAAACCCTAAAAAGGCTTAATAGAGTTGCACATAATATAGATGAGTTCTTATATATTAACTAGGCATGGTGCATAAGGGATTTCTTAGTTTCTCAGTTTAATTGGATTGTCAAGAAGTTTGTTGAGGAGATCCCACTAGGTTATATAAATGGTTTTGTACATTTACTAATTATGAGTGCTAAGAAAATCTAAGTATCTTTTTAATTATTATTTTATTTTAGGAATTCATTAGCTAATGTTAGAGTTGATCTTATGCAGATTTAATTCTTGTAGCACATTTCAATAAATGCCCCTATAAATCCTAACTCAATACCCCATTTTTTCGGTGGGTCATTTTCAATTTTTATTCTGCCAACCAGGTCTCCGCATTATTTGACGAGCTAGTTGATAATCAGGTACACATGCATATTTGTCTCATATCACATTTTAATTATTGTCCCTAACACATGTAATTTGATAATAATGGACAACCAAAAAACAGGTACTATCGCAACGGTTCTAAAAACCGCTGTGAAAACCACGTTCTAAAGCAGAAAATTGAATCCACTTGCATCGGTTAAAACCGCTGCAAATTGCACCGGTTAAAACCGCTGGCAAAGCCCTTCCGTGACTTTAAGTGACCCAAAGCCCTAATTCCTCTCTTCGATCTTGCTCGCGCGACGGGAGCGAATCCGGATAGCTGTGACGAAAATCTTCTCCTCTTGCGAATCCCGGCCGACGTAGCCTTCGATCCTCATCACTGTGAGTCTATTCCCCTTCATCCTCTTCTTCTATTTTTCTTGTCATTGTTTTTCTTCATTTTCTTCATTTGCATTCCTTAGGGTTTAGGTTTCGTTGGTTTTTAAAAATGAAATGCAAAGCCTCCTTATACATTCGCCCATTTGTTTGAAGTGAAATGTAGTATTGAACGTTAGTTAGGCTCTCAAAACTTCTTCCATAATATGGATTAATTTATGTGTAAATTTTTTATTCTCTCTAGAAAGTTACTCAGGATGAAACAAATCTCCTACTAAATAAGGAGTACACTGTCATCCAAACCATCTAAACATCAATACCATCTACCTTGAAACCCCCCTATCTATCCCCCTTATTCTCTTCAGCAAGTCCCCTCTCTAACTACACAAAAAAGAATTTTTTAAACTCTATGAGCAATTGCTAACTTAAATGCGCACATTCTGCAGGCAAAATTTTGAGAAGGATCATGGTTTAAAAAAAATTAAGAGGAGCATGATATTAAATAAATTTAAAAAGGAGCATACCAATGTACATGAATCACGTTTTCAAAGAAAATGCAAAAACAGTTGTACGTTTTCTATGAAAAACACGATTGTACATTGCATTTTGTTTGAAAACATGAACCTGACCCTCCATCGCGTTTTTTGTTGCTCTATCAGCCCTTAAATATAGTTCCTTATGTATTTTTAACAAGTTCGTTGTGAGAAATTAGATAAATTTTTATGTATTCAAAATAAAATTTTCTCATAACAGCAAAATAATAATCTAAGTTGACAGGAAAATTATGTAGTGCATAATATTTTTAATTTAGGTTGTATAATTGAATAACATTTTATGTACATACAATGATAAACTATTTTTTTTTATCTAATAAAATTATAAAATACTCATTAGTCAGCACTCATATAATTTTTTTTTTCAGCTTATGTGGCGGCAATTCTGCACGCCGCATGCTACGGCCAATAGAAAGCTGACAGCTCCACTTAATCCATCTGCTTTATTAAATCTAGCCTTGCTTTCCCAGATACGCTAAGTTAATTAAAGAAC